ATGTCTTACTATAATATCTTAGTATAATATTTTGGTATAGTATTTTAATAGGTTTTATTAATATAATAGTAGTATTTTTTTAGTATTTTTAAAGCTATATAAATTTTGCTTTTTTTTAAAAAATAGATTAGATTTGTTTAGATTCTGTTTAGATTTTGTTAGATTTTATTTTCTATGTTTTTAACTTTTATCTAATAAATATTACTCTCTTAACTATATACTTATTATATTATATACTTCTTTTATTGCTTTTTATTATAATTTTGTTGTTTTTTGTTATTTCTTTTTATTGTCTTTTATTTTAGTTTTATTGTTTTTTTCTTTAAGTTTTTCTTTTTTGTCTTCTATATTTTTATACTCAATATTTTTTATTTCTTGTCTTTAAGTAGATATATAGTAGTAAATAAAAAATAGATTAAATAATATCAAGAAAAGAATTGAAGAATTAGTATTAAACTATACAACCTTAACCATTTAATTAAAGAATACAAAAAATAATTATTCACAAAATTTTTATAAAGAATACTTCAAAATAATTATAAATAGAAAAGAAAGAAAGGATCAAAATATAGTAAATATAGTGAAATAAATTATATAGCTAGAAACTATATATTTTTTTAAAAAAAACTAGATATACAAAAATCAAAAGGTAAAAAAGAAAACTTTTAATCAAACAAAAACTACTAGTTTTTGTAAATTAGAAGATAAGTATTATATATACATTAGTTAATAATAAACTTACCCCAAAAAATTAACAAAACAACTGGCAAACCCAATATAAAAAAAAGGATTGCACAAGATAGTTAGAATCTAACCAGAATAGCCAGAAGGAGAACCAAATATGTAGGTTGAAAACCCACCTATTATAAAAGACCTACACCTTTTAAATAAACCCCAAAGAAAGCAAGAAGCCTCTATAGTTGATTTGCTGAAGCTATGTAACATCATGGATAATATCTTGTCCCTACCCACTAGTGTTACTATAAAACAGATACTTCAATACCCTAATCAGAAGAGAAACCTAGCTAAGATATTGAAACGCCCACCAAAATCGAAAGAAGCAAAATTTATCAAAGAATACCATCATGCAACTGCCGCCTGATGTTTTATTAAATTCAAAATAATCCAGTGCTGGCCGTATTAGACTCAGGTGCATATTATGTCTACCCTGGTATAGAAGTACGATAGTATCATACTTAAATACCCGGGTATGTAATAGTTATACACTGGGTGTTATGGGCAGTGTTGTCAAGGACATGGATGGACATATAAAAGATATGGACATGGACATTGGACATTGTTCATAGACTGTTCATAGACTGTCCATGGACTGTCCATGTATAACACTGGTCATGGGTATATTTATACCCTGCGGTCTTGATATAGTGACCAGGGTATAAAAATCAATTTTTTTGCTTTGTGTAACTCGCTATTTGAAGTATGTTTTTGTAACTCGCAATTTACAAAACTTATCAATGAATTAATTATTATGACTCGAATTACTCGCGATTGAATGATTCTTCTGAGTCTAATTCACGTGATACGAGTCACTATACCCGAGGTGTTACGTATTTCTCCGCACATGAGCTATACCTTACAACGGTTTGAGAGGTCAAATGCAGATTATTAATCATTTTTAACATCATAATTAACTCGCGAGTTAAATTTTAAATATTAAGATTAATTTTTAGGTCAATAAAAATTTATAATAAATCTAACAATACAGGCATCTATAATACGAAACTTTATTTTGTGATATATTTCACTTTAATATTTTGTGCATGAAAAAACTGATAATATTTTAGTAATTCTATTAGAGAATAGGAACAAAAATTCAAAGTTTATTAAAGTACAAAGCACAATTTTTTGGAGATTAATACACATATATATATTTTTCTAATCTAACTGATACATTTTATAATACTGAATAAAAGAAAAAAAAAACTGGATTTTAAAACGTAAAGAGGAATGAATAATTAAAGCTATTTGATTTCAAATTGCACCGAATGGAATAGCTCCACCAAAGCCACCGTTAAACGGAGTAAGCGGAACTGCGCCGAAACCACCAGCTAACGGAAGTAAACCAAGACCACCAAAACCACCAAGACCACCAAAACTACCAAAGCCACCAAAACCATTTATGCCCTCATCTGCAATAGGAAAAGTGCGTTTCCTAATAACCGGAATTTCGGTAGGCATGAAGCTCTTCTTACTGATCGGGATTGTATCAGGAGAAGTACGTTTAGCTTGAGTGATGAGTAAAGGAACAAATGGGGAAATTGGGTTTGTACGTTTATTCACATTCGCAATGATATTAGGGTATTGTGGATTAACAGGAGCACATTGTGTG